GATCTGGCACTCAGCACCGTAGCTGTCCTAAGCCCCTTTCCTCCAAGGCCTTCATAGTACCCTTTCTACTGCTCACACCAGCTTCACTGGCCTGAAAGCTTTTGGGTTTTTTTTCCTCTGCCTCCAATCTCTCTGTAGGAGGTCTGGGATTACAGATATAGGTGCTATTGTTCCTGGTGTTTATGTGAGTTCTGAGAATTTGAATCCAAGGCCTGGCTCTCCTCTTCCTACTCACCTAAATTCTGTGGACCCTGTCTACTCATCCCTTAGCTCCCAGTCAGCCCCACACCCTTGGGCAGCTCCGCTTTGACAACTCATGGTCCCCTAGTTCCAAGTGCATGTGGCACCTGTTTTAATTTCACAGCTCTGATAACAACTTCTCTGAAATAACTAATTCTATTTATTATTTGTTGCTAGCTCCTTCCCACAGACTTCATCTCCAGGAATCCCCAAGTCCAGCCCTAGACTAATCTATAATGACAAGTCTCGTGAACATATGGGCTGCTTGTCTCCACCCTGGCCACCTGGGTCTCAGCTACCCAGGAGAAAGGAGAGGTTGAAGCTTCCTGCAGAGATACATGCACGTTCTGCAAAGGCAAATATATGTCTGAAAGTCCCATCAGGAGAACCTGGTGGACACCAGCACACCATCTCTAGGTTCTGGAGAGGAAACTTGGCAGGAGTTTGGAGAAGAAAGCCAACTTGCCAGGTCTAATGACAAAGCCAGTTTTACCACTCCGTCTCTGCCAGTCCTTAAGTGACCTTCCCCCAGGCTGCACAACACAAGTATCTTGCCACCACCCCGAGAACGGAGCTCCTCATAAGGAGCCAGCTCAGTGCAGGGGACTAGCTGGCAGGAGAAAATGGCTAGTGGCATTTTCTTGGGTCTGGTTTGAGGTTTTCTGGTAAGACTGAAAACAAAGCTGATTTCCCACACTGGGGAATGAGGAGTAGACTACAGCTTCTCCCGAGTCCTTCGGTGCTGACACTACAGGCCACACTTCTCAGGGTGGTCTCAGGGCCCCACACTATCCAGGGTGGTCTCCCATCCTCTTTCTTGCCACAGTCTTTTGTCCTTCCTTATCGGGGATCAGCACAAAGGAAGACCAACCCTTGGGGAAAGCAGCACACGAATCAAGTGCAGTGTACTCAGAACTTCCACTCGTAAGAACTATAATGAGAAAAATAGGAATTTTCCATACTACTCTGGATTCCACAAAACTGTTATGTGGAAACTGTTTCCTTTCTTTCCTCCAAAGAATTATGTGACTTAGGTGACATAGTTTCTGTTTTATTGATGATGAAACTGAGGTTGGTGGGTGTGCTGTGCCCAGTGTCATACAGCTAGAAGCATTTCTGAGGTTTTGACCCTTATGTAGCCCAGCTGTGTTACCTGCATGGCATGCCATCAGTGGGATCCAGTGGGAGGAGCACATATGTGAGTGATTAGCTGTTTTTATATACAGTGGGTGTAAATAGAAATTTGGCCATTGGCTTTGTGTATGTAAGCCATAACTGAGACATTAAAATGAATTATTTCTGAAAACTAATTTATTAAAGAACTATTTATTTGTGGTAGGACTTATTTAGAAAGAATTTACTTGTGAGACTATTTAGCAAGTGAAAAAAGTCTATGCGTTCCTGCTGTCACTGTGTTTAATAAAAAAAATATTAAACATACATGTTTTAGCCATTTTTTATACCCCAAACTCCAAGAATGTCTGCTTTTATAAGTAGAAAGGACAGAATCGACCCCAAAATTATGGTGGAAAAGAAAAAGAAATTTGGGAGAGAAAATTGTTCCAACACCAACCTTTTGAGGCAATACTAAAGGCAGAAGTTTCTGTTATAACTCTGAAAATTGTTTTGGGTCTTTCTTGCTGGCTGAACAGCCATTATGCTAGAATGGGATTGAGGTGAAGACACCATGGTTTGGGGACACAGATTGGGACTGGAAGGCCACAGACTGGCTTTGCATCTCATGCCACTGGCCTCAGGGGGCAAGCAAAGTGAGCCAGTGCTACCTGTCTGGGCCGCTGTTTTTTCCCCTTGTAAACTAGAAGCAACCGGACAAGTATCTAGATACACAAGGCGACAGAAGTGTAGTTACCATAGTCCTGGGTAAGTCAAGAGATTTCAAGTGATTCCCTATATATTGTCGAATTTTCTCCCAAACTCTTGTAAGATAAATAAGTATACAATATAAAGAATCATGCTAGGTGATAGGTGAATAGGCTTGCTCAAATGTCCGAACTTCAGACTTGACCTCAGCACTGAGGCCTCTAATCTGATCTGATCTAATGTCATCTACCATGGATGTTTGCTCCATCTTTGCTTCTAGAATTCAACTTCAGGGGCAGATATGTAAGGTGACTGAGCCTGTGAAAAAGGCGTTTTTGTGTAAGAGGCCTCTGCATGGATGCCTGCAGAAGTCAAACTAACATCTAATTTTAGTATGCAGCGAGTGCTGTGTTTCTAGTAATCGTGTTCAGTCAGGCTGACTAGAGAAGAGGAAGGAATAAAATAAACATTTCACTTAACCTTTACAATCCACATGTGCTGATTGTCCCTCCAGATTTAGAATACTGCCCTGCCTGTAATCACCAGTCACGTTCTGTGAGCCCTACAAAGGCCGTTGGTCTCTGTTCTTCCTCCTTTCCTGTCATACTACCTCAGTGGGATTTCTTTCCTGCTTCCTAGTATGTCTCATTGGCCAAATGAACATCTTTCAGTCTTGAAATTTTCTCTGTATCCTCTCTACTTGGTCCCACTGGGGTAAAATGTAGCTTAGAGGAGATCTATTGGACATTCTATATCTGGCAAGCTCCAAGACAAGGAAGGGCATGGACCTCATAAATCATACAAGAATGACCTTGACATTGTTATCAACACGTAGGAGAAAAAAAGGAATAGAAAAAATTGAGAAATGAATCAATAAATTAATGAATGGGCTGGAGAGATAAATCGGTAGTTAAGAGTCCAATCTGCTCTTGTAGAAGACCTGAGTTTGGTTTCCAGCACCCACTTAATAATGTCTCACAATAGTCAGCAACTCCAGCTTCAGGGCACCTGACTTCCTCTTTTGGACTCTGAGGGTACCTGCTCTCACACTTGCACAACCCACACATAGCTAAAACTAAAACTAAACCTTAAAAAGAAATACATTGAAAGATCCTTTTAATCTCGGCATTGTCATCCTGCCTTGGCAAAGCAGCCAACCACCACCATCAGCAGCAGCACCACCACCACCATTAAACAGGGAGATTGATGGGATGAAACTCTTTGGGGCATTACTGCATCGCTAACAAATGCAGTGATGAATAGGTCAAAGGAGTTGACCTGGACAGAGTACCAGAGTTTAAGAGCAGGAACTGTGGTGATGCATCCCTCCAGCTGTTCAGTGTGCTGATGTATCCCTCCAGCTGCTTCAGTGTGGTGATGCATCCCTCCAGCTGCTTCAGTGTGGTGATGCATCACTTCAGCTGGTGCAGTGTGGTGATGCATCCCTCCAGCTGCTTCAGTGTGGTGATGCATCCCTTCAGCTGGTGCAGTGTGGTGATGCATCCCTCCAGCTGGTGCAGTGTGCTGATGCATCCCTCCAGCTGTTCAGTGTGTTGATGCATCCCTTCAGCTGGTGCAGTGTGGTGATGCATCCCTCCAGTTGTTCAGTGTGGTGATGCATCCCTTCAGCTAGTGCAGTGTGGTGGTGATGCATCCCTTCAGCTGTTTCAGTTGGAGGTACAAAGCGTTGCTTTTAGAGTGATGGGAGTTAGGATTTCATCAAAAATTGAGCAAGATGAAAAAACGTCCTTGTTACCATAGACAGTAAATGGAACTATAAAGGTCCTAGCACAGAACAGTGCTTTGCTGTCCAATGTGGTCATCACTAGCTACATGTGCCTTTTGATATCATGAAGAGTGAACAGTCCAGGCTCAGCTTTGCTATAAGTACATACAACAGATTTTAGAGACTTAGCATGATGGGAAGGGTAGAGTGTAAGGGATATTATAAATGATTTTTATAATTTGATTCTGTTGGGATGGTATATACAGTCAAATAAAATATGTTGCTAAAATTAATTATATCTCCTGTTTATTTTTTAATTCCTTTATTAAAAGTGGTTCATCTTTGACAGCCAGGACTATTATGTTAAGAAACCCTGTCTCAAACAAACAAACAAAGATGTAGTTCACCTTCATTGTTCTCATCATCTTCATATACAATATCCCCAGAGTCTCAGAGTCATCAATGTTGCAAACAAAGAAAAAATCCTTTCTACAGTAATGGACAATTAATGAGTCAGTATGGGGAACACCAGAGAATATCACATACCAGAGAGAGAGAGAGAGAGAGAGAGAGAGAGAGAGAGAGAGAGAGAGAGAGAGAGAGAGAGAGATCATTCTTCTTAAGATTAGGGCTGATAAAGTGCAGATACTCCAGGTGAACTGTGAGTAACTCTAAGAGAACCAGAGAAAGGAGGTCATGTCAATAGTCTACTGTAACAAGAGCAAGCACTCTGTGAAGAAGTCCTGCATGGAGTAACTAGACCAATGCAAGGACATTCTCCTGGCTCTTACCGAATCTACCCACAGATGTTTTGTTTTAGAGATTAGGTTTTGAGATTAGAGATTAGGATTGTCCCACTGGTTGCAATAAATACTACATTGGGGTTCATTCTGCTCTGGCAGTGCTATGGTGGCCACACACTCTCCTGTTGACCCTGAAGCTCCCCTTGAAGGAACATGTGGGGCTTCTGATGACTACATCTCAGTCTGGAATTGCCTCAGACCAGTTTTCAGTGGCCACAGTGTCTAAGTTGTCCCTCTTACAGGAGGCAGCTTCAACCAAGTCTGCTCTATCAGGTGGCACTGTATGTCCTGTTAACATTCATAATCACATAAAAGAAATTCCAGTTTTCAAAACCCACTGTGTGTGTTTGTGTGTGTGAATGTGTGTACAACTGAGGCCCTCACTTAAACAACATATTGCAAGTGCAGAATTCCAAAAGGAAATTCATTCATCAAGTCATCAGCTTGGTTACTCCTGTAGGTGTGGAGGACCTAGTGAAAATTTCAACCCTCCCCTTCTGTGTCCTCCGGCCATTGTTCAGTGTACAGTTTGTAAGGTGGGTTCTCTAAGGTTTCTTGTTAAAGATATGGCAGTATTTGCTGTTCACTAGTAGAGGAACTGCATGCCAGAAACTTTCTTTGCCTTTTGTCTTCTCTAGTTCTTGAAATGCAAATACAGTTGCGCCTGGTTATAAACCTGGAAGATAATAGAAGAATATGAGTCTTTCATACTCTAACATAAACACAGACAGAAACAAGAGAAACTATTACAGGATGAACTGCAAAAAGCACTATTTTTCAGTGCTTGTTTCCTGGGTCAGGGTCTCATGTATCCTTAAACTTGCTCTGTAGACAAGGATGGCTTTGGACTCCTGATCCCCTTGCCTCTACCTCCTGAGTACTGAGAATACAGGAATGAGCTACTACACACTCTACCAACTATGCCACATCCCTATTCCAAAAGCCAGATTTCAGTTCCCAGCTCTGAGTTCTGAAACAGGAGAGTATACTCCTTCGGGGTCTCTTTAGAACAGTGGCTCTTCGCCTTCCTAATGCTGTGACCCTTTAATGCAGTTCCACATGTTGTGATGAACCCCAACCATAGGATTATTTTGCTGCTACTTCATCACTGTAATTTTACTACCATTATGAATCGTAAATATCCAATATACAGGATATCTGATGTGACCCATGGGGGTTGTGACCCACAGGTTGAGAACCATTACTTTAGCTACGGTATTGTTGCCCCTATGTTTCCGTTTTTCCTTCTTTTTGTAAAACAAGGAAAGTTCAAGGTACAAGGACAACCCAGTCTTCAGATACTTGGCATAATCTCACAGGTGGTGAGCTCCCTGCCCCAGACCCAGACTGAGAAGCAGCCCCTTGTCCTGTGCTGACCGCTGAAACCATCACTGATCTCTCCTCTGCTCTGTTTTGCAAAGGTGCAGATGTTAACAGGAAGTTAACTGTGCCCATCAGTATCACTGAGATCTCAAAATGTCTCACTTGACAATGTTTTGTAGAATTTATAGTATTCCTCCACTTACTTTCTACCTGTACCACAGGCCCTCAAGTCTCTGAGCTGGTCTTTAAAAGCTGCAAGTTTGGGGCAGGCTGGAGAGTCATTTCAAGATTTTTTTTTTTAACTCTATAACATCAGGGGTGACATCACTGTGTTTGCACAGTGTTTGAAAGAGACATGGTCAGCATATTCAAACATCAGACAATTTTACCAGTGTCTGTACCTAGCAAACACATAGAAGGGAATCAGATCAATGTTGCTAAACAGCTAAGCTGCTTCTCAAACTTGATTCTGGAAAGTTATTTCTTTGAGAAGACTGCAAGCTTCCTCCATTTTCTCCCACAGTGGTGGGAGGGCTGTTTTAATGTTGCCACTCAGCCAACGGCACCTCTGAGCAGGGGGAATGATATTGAAGAGGGCCTTGGGCTGCTCCATCTAAGTCAGCAGCCCAAGGGATAATTGTTCCAAGGTCTCTAGCTCACTGTGGGTGCTATGTTTCCTCTGAGCCACATTTCACAGGATGTTGGCTGCAGTCATGACCCAGGTTAAACATAGACTGTGGCCTCATAGCTTGCTATTGCTCAATCCGTTCATTATATACTCATCAAAAAATTGACCGAACTCCTACAGGGTGACAAGTAGTGTTCTAGAAACTGGAAAGATAGGTGTGAACAAGGCAGGCAGTGCCGTCTTCTTTATGAAGTGTCCACTTGGGAAGGAAATCGGCGTTCAAAAATAAACCTGCAGATGGGGTCTGTGTTAAGAACCATACAGATAAAGCACATTGCCTTGAAATCTCAGGGCAGCCGCCTGGCGAGGGAGGTCCCTGGCACTTGATGTGATAAGGCCAGTGGGTCCAGAAGGTGCTTTGAACGCAGGAACAGGGGCAAGGCAGGGCTTTTCCAGCCCCACTGTGGTGCTTCACGGAATCCTGCTGGGGCCCAGGAGGCAAAATAAAGAAACCTTCAATTTCTCATTGTGAACTTCTGGCCTCCCTGTTAGGGACATGAAGATTAAGCCAGCCTGTAGAAGAAAAACATTTACCATGGTACCTACCACTTGGGCTTCATTAGAAAGTACACTCTAGCTGCTGTCAGAAAGTTCACAGAAAACAAATGATTGCTAAACAGAGTTATAAAAACAACAGGATAGAGGTTCTAGGAGCTTCTGGAAGAAAGTGCCTAACTTTCTTCTGCGAAAGGAGAGAAGGAATCTAGATGGGTTTGGAACACAGGAGAATGCTGTGGAGGTGAAGACACCAGGAGGCGAGGAAATAGCCTGTACCATGCCTGAGAGAGCAGAGCTCATGTGAGGACTGGGGGTGGGGAGGGGACCATAATTGCTTCTTCTGGTTAGAATATGAGTGCCCTAGAGGAATTGGGTGGGGGGGGAGATGGCTAAGCTCAAAGAATAATCCCCTTTTCTATGGCTGTCAGGAGCTCTGGGAGGTGATGAGCCAGAGAGAAGCTCTGAGGGGCATGGGCCAGACGTGGTGGGCCACTTGGACCTCTGTCATCTGAGAGGTGAAACCCCAATGTGTGCCAAATTGCCTCTTCAGGCTCCAGCCTCTCCTTACCATGGACTGTTTGCCTGTCTGGAATGAGATAATTTGTCAGACACCAGCTGCTGAGCATTCTTCCCTCATGGGCACATTTATTATTATGTTACAATGCGCACGGAGAATCTTAACCATCACTGGAGTGAAAATGATTAAAACGTGGGTTTTTTTTTTTTTTTTTTTTTTTGTGTGTGTGTTTTGTTTTGTGTGTGCAAAAATTCTCCAGGACTCCTTCTGCCGCAGACAGCATCCCTGGTCATGCACTGCATTGGGGAAGCAGGCTTGGGGGGAGCCCTTGTCATAATTAACAAAACAACCAGCAAGAGGATCCCAGAGTCTCCAGGCAGGGAAGGGGAGACTGTATGGAGCCTTTGTGATCAGCCCAGGAGTTCAGCAGCCAGGGATGCTGGGCTGTGTCTCTGCAAAGTGCACGGGCTGGGCTGGCTGGCTGTGAGAGCTGCACCATGTCTAATTATGTACCAGGAGGCAAGAAAAGGTGTAGGTCTGTCTTTCCAGTTCAGAGGGAGAAAAAAATATGTGGTGTCTCGCGTCTAAGAAACGAACAGGCTGACCTTTTCAGAGCGTCTGAAAGAAAAAACCAGATGTATTTCTCAAGAGTCAGTGTGACTGAAGGCTCGCATTGTGCTCTCACATAAAGGGAGAGCTAACCAGAAACCAGCAGCTGATGATCTGAAGCCAGGCTGTGCTATTGTCCGGCACACAAATGTTCTACAAGGACCCAGACCACCATGCAGTTCTCTGTGCATAGACTATGGAGTTTGGGGGAGAAGGCGGGGGGCACAGGCTTTTCTTTTCCTCCTTTTCTTTCTTCCCTTCCTAAAACCCTTTTCCTTCCAATCCCTCTGCAGTTGCTCACATTCAACTGCTAGCAATTATTCCCCTTGACCCTCCTTGCTCTCCAAACAGGGGTGTGGGCCTCTGAAGGTTTCCCTTCTTTGTACCTGACAATCCCACATTACAGGCAGGCTCTAAGGGAGGAGGTGAGGTCTCCGCTCCCTAGGGGACCTTCATCAGGGGAGTGGAGTGGCTGTGATTTATTCTCCACAGAGCAAAGTCAAAGCTAGGCAACCATATGCTGGGAGGCAGGCAAGGAGAATCCTCTCCTGCTCATCAAGGGCAGCTCTTCTATTGTCCTTGGGGAGGCCCAGGGCGAAGGCTTGGAGTGTGGAGGGGGAAGGGAGAAGGGAGAGAAAGAAGAAAATGAGAGGGCAGCCCACAAGATCCCTCTCCATTCCTGCTCACTTGGTTTAGGTTTTCTCCTGGAGTCTTGCCTTCCTAGAGCTGACGGGAGCTCCTTATCTCCCCTACCATCTGCAGTGGTTGCAGGTGGACACCGGGCATACCTGTCTCTTGGCTTCCCATTGTCCCCAGCATTATCTTTGTACCAAGTGGCTTCCCAGTGAGCATCTGCTGACAGGAATTAAGCCCTTCAGATTATTGGCTGCGTTCCTACTTGTCACCAAAGAATAGCTCCTCCTAGCAGCAGCCGCCTTGATGTGAAGTGGCCCCTGCCTCAGGGACTCTATCATTTACTTCATTTGGGGGTAAATCCCCCCCAACTATAGACATTCAATAAACTACTTTCATCAGATAGCAGGCAAAAAACATTGAACCAGATCACCTCACAAGATGAATTAGTAGCTCTCTGACTATACTTTTCATAAAAGTTCACTTGGGACTCACTCAACAATATTTTAGAATCAGGCTCTTATTACGTCTGTAATTGGGACCAAAAATCCTAGCCCCCAATGACTGGGCACAGGGCTTCAGTGTCTAACCTCAGGCTGCACCCTGTCTTCTTGTTGTAACTCTCTCTACTGGAGATAATTCTGAGCATATATGTGTTGGATCTTCTGTCTCTCCTCTAAATGACGATAAAGTTCATGCGATATAAACATTAATTATACCCACTATTCATTTTTACTGAGTGCTTAATGTGTGTTTTCAGGTATTGTTTTAAAAGCTTCACATGTGTAATCTTAATCTGTTTTTTTTTTTCATTTTGTGAAATGCACTGTTAGTACCAAGCGGAATGGTTAGCAGCACTTTTAATTCAATAAGTAACTTTTTGAGCCAAGAGGAGGGAGGGTAAATTCTATATTCTTTCTAAGAGTATGCCTAACAAAATATTAGAAAAAGAATTTCAAAGAAAACGATCATGTCAAAAACATTGTCTTTTCAAAAGTATTAGTGAACCTGGCTTTGGGTGATAATTTTAAAGACTCTGGATCCTTTAAGACATATTTTTATTTAACACGTATTGTATTAGGGAAGTGGGAAGATGGCTCACTGGTTAAGAGCATTTGCTGCTCTTGCGGAGAACCTGAGTTGGGTTCCCAGCTCAAAACTACTGGAACTCCAGCTCCAAGGGATCCAATACCCTTGTCTGGTCCCCACTGGTACCCACATACAGGTGCCATACACACACCACACACACACACACACACACACACACACACACACACACACACACACACACACAATAAATCTTTAAAAGTGTATCATGAAATAAGTTAGTCTGAAATTTTTTTTTTTTTTTCGAGACAGGGTTTCTCTGTGTAGTTTTGCGCCTTTCCTGGAGCTCACTTGGTAGCCCAGGCTGGCCTCGAACTCACAGCGATCCGCCTGGCTCTGCCTCCCGAGTGCTGGGATTAAAGGCGTGCGCCACCACCGCCCGGCTTCTAGTCTGAAAATTTGTTAAACTCGAGGAAATTATAATGAAATCTCTTGTTAGGCAGAGAATTGAGTGACTGAGTGATTAATTGGTTGTGGTTTTATGAGACAGGGTCTCTGTAATCTAGGCTGGCCTGGAACTGACTGGACCTAGCGTAGCCCAAGTTGTTCTAAATCCCATGATCTTCCTGCTATAGCCATCTGAGTGCTGGGATTGTAGACATGAGCTACCGTGCCTGGATAAAAAAATTATTGTATATTGCAGATAAATCATCTTCTTCATCTAAAATAATAACCAGTGGTATGTAGGTCACAAGTTATCACCCTTAAAGTTTCTTCGTGTATATAGGGGCATATGTCCGCACATAGATGTTTCTTGTCATGGCGATGCTGTATTTAAGATTCTTCTTAAGGATCTCAGATGTCATCAAGTCAATGTTCCCATTTACCAGATAAGGAAACTGAGGCTCAAGAAGATGATGTAGCTCAGTGACAGAAAAACCCATTGGCAGCCTAACATCTGAGGTGTTCCCTCAGGCACATTATCATTTTGAAATATGGCCTGGGATGGTGGGAGTTTAGTATGGTATATAGGGTTACACCCTAATCACAGACACTGATTTCACGCTTATACTCACTAATTCATTTTTAAATTTTGACTGAAAGTTTCTTCTGTGCCAGGCACTGCTCTAGAAATTGGGGAGTAGAGAAGGGAACAAAATCAGGAAACCCTGGAGTCAGTGATTTTATTATAACCCTCACTGTAGCTGTGCATGGCTAATCAGATTTAAATTATTGGAAATTGAAAAAAAAAGAGGAAATTCAGGCCATCGATTACCCTGCTAATTTGGAGTGCTCAAATTCACCAGTTCCAGGTGTTTTGGTTGCCATGTGTGTTTAGTGGCGAGCATGTGGGACGGAACACACACATTCTGCAAGTGTCTTCTAGGTAAGCTGTGAGCAAATACACAGTGTGCAGATGGTAGTAATGATACTTAGGAAGACAAGTAAGGCTGGGTGAAAAGATGAACAGGGAGAGAGGCGGGGCCCTTTGTCCGGGGTCAGAAGTGCGGCTCCGAAGGAAGAGAGAGAGCAGGCTTCATGAACATGCACAGACGACCATACCAGGCAGGTGAGAACACTGGGCAGGATGAGAGGTAAGGGCATGTGTTTAAGGAGGAGCAGGGGCTTCTCTCGTTGGAAGGGCAGTCACTGAAAGGGTGGGGAGAGATTGGAGCTGGAGAGGTCAGAAAGGAAGGCTAGACAGATGATGTTAAACTGGGGATCGCATTAAGGGCTTGCACCAGCAAGGCTGAGCGTGGTCGTCTCCCCTTCCCTCTGCCCTTTTGGCTCTTTTGTCTTCCTGCCTGCCCTCACCTCCTCTCTTATCTTGTCACTTCTTCTCACCTTCCCTCTTACCTTCTGTCACTCCTCTTCTCCCCTCCTTCCTCCTCTCTCCTCCCCTCCTCTCCTCTCTCCTCTCCCTTTGCGGCACCTCCTCTGTCTTCTTGATTTCCCTTCCTCTCTTCTCTGCCTCCCTTCTGCTCCCCCTTCCTTCCTTTCTTCTTTCTCTGTCCCCCCTTTCTTTTCCCTTCGTGTCCCTGTGCCTTATAACTCATGTTCCTGACGCTCAAGGATGTAGAGCACAGCACAGCATTCGCAGCAGGCAGCATCTACACAGTCTAGGACTGAGATTCCCTGACTGCAAAGTCAGTCGCCTGGGCCTTTGCTGAGCCCCTCCCCTTTTCCTTGGCAGAGAGATAGTTCCTCAGCACCAGCCCTCGACTTGACCATCAATAGGGTAAAAGTGTTGTGATTTTTTTAAATTTGAAGTTCATAGCATGTTTATTGAGCATTTACCATGTGTGGGTGTTAGATAGGAATGGAGGATTTCTAAGACACTGAAACTTCTGTCCTAAAACTAAGAAAGTCTTGGGATGTACTGGTCCAGCCTAGGTAACTACAATGATAGATACTGTGGTGCCTGCCTTCAAGATGTCATAGCCTGACAGACAAGCCAGAGAATATGAAATCCTAAGGGCTCTGATTGTGGGTGTACAGTTGCTCTGGATTGCTGACAGCTTTCAAGGCCCCAGTACATAAAGCCCATCAAAGGAAGACTTCCTGGAGGAAGGGACTATCAGGTCTGATTCTTAATGATGATGAAGGATCTCTACCAAAGATGTGGGCTCAACTCTAATACTTCCCAACTCTCTGTAGACATTCATGACATGCATCTGTTGTGTTACCTGCTGTATTGTGTATGTTACAGACTTGTTACTAGAGAAATGAACAGCCACCTTGATGCCAGAGTCCACATAAGGAACCACATGCTGCCTGGTGGATAGTTTTGTTTCATAAGCATCAGAAAGGAAGGAATTAAGCACATATTTGTGCTTGATAGTATCAATATTTGGGCGGGGGTCAGCAGGCTGTTGATCACATCTGTAGTTCTTCCTGGAAGAAGGAGAGTAGGCCAGGACATGGTCAAGACTGCATCATCATCTGAATTCCTGGGACAGAGGAGTCACAGAAGGCTTTTCAAAGGCAGGCTTACGGACTTGCTCACTCAGTTTGCCTCATGATCTGCTCTCAGAGGCAGACATTAAAACACACAGCACAGTCATTTAGAATTTCAAAGGCTTCTTCTTCAGGGGGTGGGACACAAAAGACACCACGGTTATACACATAATGCTGGGATGGTGGGAAGAGGAGCACACCATTAACAAGATGTGCTGCAAGCCTCGATGGGGTGGCAAGAGCTATTCTGCCCGAATAAAGAAGACTCCTCATTACGGTGGCTTTAAAAAGATTATTATCATTATTTCTCTTTAAAATTCACTCCTGTGTTCCACCTGGTTTGGGAGAGCTTAAGAAGAGGGAGAATATGTTTTTTAAGTAGTTCACAGATCACTAAGAATAACAGTCAATGTTAAGTACACACATACCCTTTCTCTCTGTCAATCAGCATTTAGAATAAATGCAATACCTAAATCAAGACAGCCTTCCTTTTCCTAAGGCAGAGACCTCTCAGCCCTGCTCTGAGGGCTTTGAAATGGATCCTGTGTCCTAGCCAATGGCTGGAAGGATCAAACAAGAAGGAAGTCCCATCCAGTGTGCGTCTGGTCCCAACATTATCTTGCATGGCTTTGCTTGTCTTCTCTGTCCTTTGTTTTGGAATTACATGAGGCAAATGCCAGCAATCTAAGTTGGAAAACCAGGAGCCCAAGCTGCAGGAGCAGCCAGCAGACAACAGTGTCTCTGAATTGCTATTGTTTCTATTTTAGGAGCCCATTGAGTGATTAGTTTGGGTAACGGTAACATTGCGCATTACCTTGCTCAGGCTGAAAATGTCTTTCAATAAGAAGGCAACACGGAGGCCATGTGATACAATCCTGTAGACAGAGCCAAGTGGAATACATCAAAGAGAGCCTTGATGCAGATGTTTCATGCAGAAGAAAATTAGGTCAGAGACCACTTCAATTTCAGCTTCTGCCAGCCTCGTTTGAGAGCTTCCAGTGAATTCGTAATGAATAGCTTCTAGGGCACTTTTCTCTCATTCAGTCACAGGCTGCCACAGCCAGATGAGCGTTCCATGTGGAATCTTCTCTCATTATTTAAAACTGCTACTTTGTGTTCTGAAATTCCAGAACCCTTCCAATGCACTACCACTATGGGCCTGGAAACAAAAGACTCCAAAAAAAAAAAAAATACAGAAAGGCATTAGTTTCCATCACATTCCTGCACACACCAGCTTTCTCTCCCCATCCATCATCTCCATACATGTTTTTTAATACATCCCCAAAGCCCCCTTTTCATCTGCCTATGCAAGTGCATGAACTGCCAGCTGAGGAAGATTGGAGATGTCGGGCTGTTTTAATCTTACTCAACTCTGAAGGAGCTGAGTGGCCTATACATGACCAGAACGCTTTGTCGGCTTCTTGCAGGGAATGTGCATGCGTGAGTGAGTGTGGTGTGCATGTATAAAAAAGGCTTTTCTCTGAAAAGAGAAGAGAAGGGCAGCGCGACCTCCATGAGAGTGGATGATGCATCTTTTCCCTGCCCACCCCCCGAGCCCCGTCTCACACGTTATTTATTATATTGGAGGCTGAGAATCCAGGGCGCTCTGGTTGCCTCCTCCTTCATATATTCTCACCGCCTACCCTTGTCGGGGCTCACACTGACAAATTCTTGCTGATTGGAACGGGGCTAAAAGGAGTGGATCTCCTCGATTCATGCCAGGAGAAGAATCATTAGATTTGAAATGCATCTTGGAGAGATGGTGCGGGAAGGCAGTCACAGAAGGTCACACAGGCTCCTCAAAGCTGGGGACGCCCCTTTCCCATGGGAAAGGGTAGGAAGTGGCAGTCCCAGCTCCTGCTCGCAGTCACACCAGCGCTTTGTGCTTATTCCCTCCAAAGCACCAGGGCATTCCTAAACAAGCTTTCTCCAACCGGAGGTTGACGAGGAAGCAGCAGGCCATCTCAGGAAAGTGCTAGAAGGCCTGCTTGTGCTTCAGTCCACCATGGGAAGCCATCACCAAGATACTATCTTTCTTGACTTATCATTTGAAAGACTGCACATTGCATAAAGAGATACCAGTATCCTAGCTTTTCTTCCCCTGGTTTCCTCCCTGCTAGTTCATTTCTACAATAGTCTCTCTCTCTCTCTCTCTCTCTCTCTCTCTCTCTCTCTCTCTCTCTCTCTCTCTCTCTCTCTCT